TGCTTCCAATTCCAACCCATTCTCTTCAATACTAACAAACCCCCTCCTCACCTGGCTCTGGCCCATTGCAGGCCCCATAATAATCATTCTTCTCGCCTGTCTCTTCTTACCCTGTATAATAAAGTTCATCAAATCCCAAGTCGGAAAAATCTCTAATCAAGCTTTCAACCAGCTTTTACTCAGGAACTACCAGCTTCTGGCCACAGAAGATCCCTCACCCTCACGTGACCTCCTCACCACACGCTGAGATGGACCCCTCTCTCCACTGGAAACTGTTCCTGGAAACAATAGCCGCAGACGCCTGGCTCCTGACACCCATATCCTCTTGGCCAACCTATGGTTACAGGGAACCTTCATTGTTTTCCAAACCTGAAGAAGTCCACATCTACTCATCCTTACTGTGGGGAGTCCTATCAACCCTTTCCTCCCAGTCCTCAAGCCCTCACTCCCTTCTCCGCCCCTGTTCAGCAGGAAGCAGCCAGAGAGAAAGCAACGTCCACAACCCCATGGAGGAGAAAGGGGGGAATGAAGGGCCCCCACCAGTAAGATGGCAAACTTCCGGCTTCTCTTCGGGGTCCTCGGTTCCCGCTGGCGCCACCTGAAGCCCAATCACCTCTCGCTCCCCTCCCAATCCCAGCACCTAGCCAACAGCCAACAGCTCCGTAGAAGTGACACCTCAATCAATTCATGCCCCTTCCTATATAACCCAGCACCTTTCCCTAATAAAGCGGAACTCTCCAGTGAATTGCTGCTATGTGTCTCTCCTTTCCTTTCAGTAGGTAGTTCACCCTGGGCACCCCACTGGGTGAGATACCATCTGCTCTGCCCCCGAAACACTCTGAGGCAACATCCTCTGAAACATTACCACTCAGTAGAATGGTTGCCTGATTGCATGACCACTGCCCCTGCCAGACTGGTAGCTTTCTTGATACTACTGACATAGTAGCCTCCAGTTCTAGGCATGAGACTCCATCAACATTTGCTGTCGGAGTAACCTGCTGGCCTGTGCTAACCCTCAGGCCTCCTGAAGTCAGGCACCACCCAGTTCTCCCTGCTTACCAGCAAGCTCCTCACAGTTGCTGAGGGAAAGATGGTGGCAGGACTCCAGCAAATGACTGCACTTACTGGAGTGTCTCTTCCTGGAACAGAAACTGACACAAAAAGAGAGTTATGTGCCAACAGAGGTATTGGGACTGCAGGCCTCTCACAGAAAGTTCTCCATGTGTCAATTTACCAAGAACAAAGGAGTGTAAGGACTGGCAAAGCAGAGGAAAGTGTACCTGGGGAATTGCAGCTCTAGTTCTGACTCTAGCCCCAACTGCTGACTTTGGGCAAATTCCCGTACTTCCCAGGCCTGTTGGTCCTGAGGCCTATGAAGTAAAGGGCTGGCTCAGGAGCTGGCTGAGATCCTGGGAGGGGAGGCAGGAGAGAAGCTGACCAATCTGAAAAGTGCATCGTCTGGACTCCACCCAATCCTGACCTCATTCCTGAACACAGCCCAGCCCCAAACCTCCCACCTAAAACACTCTCCATGCAGCAGCCATTCAGTCTGGGTGGGTCACAGGGTAAAACTCCCAACACAGCCCTTGCTGTTGGTACTTGGTACAAACAAGCAAATCTAGACCGGACTGGTACCTTTCCTTTGATAGGCACCTTTCCCCCTCACACCCCATTTCCCATGGAACAAGTTTTGCTCAGACCCCATTCTGCCAAGACCCGGCAATAGCCGCCCGATGGTGCTGCACTCCCTCATCAGCGAACCTTCCTCCCTTAGGTAACTGTGGAGGCAAATCCACGCCCCCGTCCCAGGTGCTGGCGGTAGGAGGCAGCTGCCGGGGTTATGAGGAAGAGGAGAACTCATCTATTCCCACCGATTTTGCTAAACTTGGGGGAAAGGAGAGAGTCTTTGACGTTTTTGCCTCCCTTTTACTAAGAGCACAGGCTGGGACACCAATCAGACCTGGGTTAGGTCTCAATTCTGCCACTTCCTGGTTATTTGACTGTGGGCCCGTTTCCCACCTCTCTGCATCTCAGTTTTGAATCTGCAGAGCGGGGATATAATGCCCACCTTGAAGGCCTGCCTAGACAGGTTGTTATGAGAAACACCTGTCAAATACAGCACAGGGCCTGAGTAGCTCAGGGTAAGTGCTTAGTAAATGTTAGCAACTGTTAACAGCATAGAGATGTCTGGCACAGAGAAATGGTGTTTATGTTTTTAAAAGAATTTCCCTGTGAATCATGGTCAGGACTAAAATCCTGATCCCACAGTTTAGAATTCAGGCCCTGTCATGCCACCCCACTCACCAGCCAATAGTTGCAGCTCCTCTTGATTAAACAACTTGAGAGTTCAGAATTGTTAAAGTGAAAATCCCCATGCAAAGACTGGCCTGTTCCTGGCTGCAGTGCAGACCTCGACCTCAGGAATCCCCATAGCTCGGATCTGCTGTTTTTTCCTGCCCTGCAGCACAGCCCTGAGATCAGGTTGCCCAAATTCAAGTTCCTGACTTTGAGCCTACCTTGCCTCTGTCCCAGTGAGCTTTTGTTTACTCATAGTGAGACCTTTGGAATAGTTACTTTTTAATCTCATGAAAAATTCCTACAGCTGCTTTGTAGGGGAGTAAGTCCCAGGAAGCTGGGAGCACCCTCGGGATCCATGAAGATAGATGGCCCCTGGAACTGAGAGGCATGTCCCCAGATGCCTCTGCCAGCTCTGTGCCAATAAAACTTTTTGTTTATTTGGGTTAGCTTCAGTTTCCTGTATTTAAATAAAACCAAAGGATCACAGTGAGGCAGGCAATAGCATGAATAAACACTAATGCCCCAAATGTAAGTTAGGGTCCTCAGCAAAAGTGTCCCTGGCTCTGTTAATAAATAAGCCAGTGATTTAGCTGCTCCAGCACATTCTATTCTGTAGCCCGGAAGGGAGTCTCCCCATCACAAGGGATGATAGATGCCAGCTTAGTAGCTTCAGGTCCTGTCCAGCTTCCCTGCATCTGCGTCTGCTGTACGTGCTGGGTGACAAGATCACCTCCAACTCCAAAGTCACTCCTGGGACACCGTCAGGATCAGAGAGGGCCCAGAAGCAAAGGGAGGCTTCTGGGGCCCTTCGTATGGGACTGACCCAGGAGGGTATGGTGCGAGCCTAGCACAGTGCATATACTCTGCATATATTACTCACTGAGTCCTCATAAACCTATGCTGTAGAAACTATATTAGTGTGAAGGCTCAGAGAAGGTAAGTGGCATGCTCAAGAACTTGGCAGAAGCAGGTCTTAAATCCCACAACCTGGTGGGGGAGACTATCACATAATACTGCCTTTCCCATTTTACTACAAACGACAAATGTTGTAGTACTTCCAAATACTGGGAAATGCATGGGCAGTAGAGTTACTTGGGAAGGCTCGGTGGAAAAGGGGAAGAATCCAGAGGGGCTCAGGGGAAGGCAGGCAGGGTGAGGAACTCACGTGCTGGGAAGGAGTCCAGGGGGTTCAGGAAGCAAGGACAAGACCAAGCACAGACCATGCTGTGATGCACCTAATCTACAACTTAAAGCTTACCTGAACATGTATGCTTGGGTGCTGTTAACACACTTGTTAATTTTAGCAGCTCTCGTAAATGCCACGGCCCTGGCACTCAGGAGGTAACTGCTACAGGGCAGGCAAAGATGTGTCTGCCCCCCCTGTTCTCCTCAGCCAACCTCTGCTGACATTCTATTCCCTCCGAGCATCTGGGGCATTGCGAACTGGGGTGGCTCATGACAGCTTCCTCTATACAAGCTCATTAGACTCAAAATCCTTTTTAAAAAGAAAGCTGCTCTTTGTTGATGCTTTTGAAATGCCTCTGTGCAGATGGTTCTGCAAGTTTAATTCACCCTTTGGCCTTGAGAGAAAATTTTTGGTTTTGTTTTTAATACATTGCCACAAACCAAATATATAGTACTTCTTTTAAAACTGAGGTCATCTAGGTGGCTAGTTCAAGATTTAAAACAAGACATATCCCAGGTTGTACTGACACAACCAGAGAGGATGGTCACCGTCTGGTCACTGTCTCCCAGCCCCCTGAGGAAGAATGTGAGCCCGCAGGGTCAGCTCCCAGCTCAGAGTCCGCAGGAATCTCTCCCGCTGTCTCAAGCCCTCAGCCCCAGGTCTATGGCTCTCCTGAACTCTCTGCCTCTGACCTCATATCACAACTCTCTGTGAGCAGGTCACCAGGCAGGAAGTTCCAAGAGACTAAGTGCTTCATCCACTCTTCCAGCAAGTATACCTTAATACCTTCTAAGTGCCAAGCAAATTACAGGCCTTGGGACACACCCATGGGCAAGACCACCCTGGCATTGGAGATGCACCACGCCTCAGAGTATGGCCTCTGGAACTGGACTGCCTGGATTAGAATCCCAGCTATGGCATGTGCTAGCTGCATGACCCTGGACAAGTCACTTAACCCCTGTGTCTCTTAGTTTCCCCATGTATACACTGGTGATGATAACAGTGCCAACCCCGTAGCAATGAAAGGATTAAGTGAATTTATGTATGTTAAGTGTATTTTTAGTTAGTACCCAGTAAGTCTTATGTGTAAATTAGTATTATAGGTAGTAGTGATGATGAAACAGATTGATAAAATAAAATGTAAGTGCCCTTTATAGCAAAGGTAAATACATGATGGTTTAAGAGGACACAGAGGACTACATAACCCAGACTTAGGAGAGCTTCTCTAACCATAGCAGGGGGGCCCAAGGACGGAGAGAAGAGTGTTCCAGATTGAGGGAATGCATGTGCAAAGGCCAGGAGGCAAAAGTCCATGCTTTCCTTGGCAAGGTTGCTTCCTTTTAAAATATAAAACAAACAGTAAGCCAGTCTCTAAGTAACAGTTCTTACAGAATTTGTAATATGCCTTCCATCCACTGAGCCCTTAATGTACAAACAGCAAAGAATTCAGATTCAGACCACAGATAGCAAGTCTGAGTTAAGTTCATCTTTGAAGGTTATACCAACAAGGTCAAAGGGGCTCACAAGTTCTCTTTATATTTTCAATAAGAAAAAAACATTTATGAACCTCAGATGTTCAGGTTAATTGAATCATGTCTTGGAAGACTTCTGATCTTGTAGACTCCCTCAGAGAAGATGTATGTGGCCTTTGCTTTTACTCCACCTCCAGCACAGCACCTGGCACATGCCAGGTGCCCAACAAATGCCTTTTTTTCCCTCTAATACTTGAATGTGCTAAATTTTAGTTTGTATCCTAATTTTTTTTAAACAAATGCTTTTTAAATGTCTAATGTTAAAATGAATGCTGCCAACATCCAATGATCCTCTTTATACTCACCTCACAGAAGGCCAGTTTGGGCCTGCCTTTGATCGCTGAGAGCAGCAAGTCAGTCTGCAGAATGACCTTGCAGCAGAGCTGTGTTTTGTAATCAGCTAGCAAACCTCCGCATGAACTGAGAGGGAAGGTTGGAAAGACAATGAAAACACAAACAAGCCACGATTGTACAAGTCATTACAGAAAATCAGCTGGACCCTTGACTGGATTTCAATTTTAAGGAAACAAAAGAGGGAGAAATCTTCCCAGCAGGTAATAATCTTTTTCGAAAGATCAACAAAGCCTTTTTTTTTTTTTTTTTACTGTGGCTAAAATTTCTTATAATGTTTTTATTAAAGTTTCATTGATATACAGTCTTAAGATAGTTTCAAATACACAGTAGTTCAACTTTCTCTCAAGTCCTCACCCCCTCCGTTGCGGTCACTGCCTATCAATGTAGTAAGATGTTATAGTCATTAATTGTATTCTCTGTGCTGTACTACCATCTGGTGACCTACCTATATTGTGATTGTGAATGATCATGCCTTAATCCCCTTCTCCCTCCCCACCCACCCTTCCCAAACCCTCCCCTTTGGTAACCACTAGTCCCTTCTCAGTGTCTATGAGCCCACTGCTATTCTATTCCTTCTGATCTGTTTTGTTGTTGTTTTTTTTCAACAGAGTCTTTTTTAAATTAACAAATGGAGGACTATGGCTCTTGAGATAATAGTTAGAGGAAAAGGATTTTAAAATTCATCCAAGCCAGAGATTTTCAAACAGGTTCTGGCTGACAGAGTCATTTATTCAAATTAAATATTACCAAGATGTATAAACAAATAAAACACATAAAGAGAGAGCTGCTCTGGTCAAAGGCAAGGTCCAGGCCCCAATTCCCACTACCCTTGACCTAGATTACTCTTGTAATCTAACACACTGCCATTGCATTTTACAGTCACACCACTGTTGTCTCGCAGAGCCAGGGTGAGTTCCTAGGTCTACTTACTCCAAATTCAAAGACCCTACCACTACACCATGCAGATGGCAGGGAGATATTCTTACAGATGGGGAAGGGGTACCTGATGGAAATAGGTGGTGCTTGAGAGGAGGATTGCCCATGCACAATGTTTTTGATTAGTTTGTCACCAGGCAGAGAGGAGAGGAGGAACATCTCATTAAGAGAGAACAGAAACGGGTTTTAAACGAGGCCACAGATACTCATTTGCAGTTTAGAAGGATCACCCCTGTGGCACTGAGGAAATCCACAGCATGACGGGGCTTCTGCAATGGTTGAACGGATGGGACTAAGGTCAGGGATGGAAAACAATGGTGGTTTCCAGAAGGAAATTCAGCATGGAGAGTGGGAGCAATAAGAGGCCAGGAGGGCTTTCCTGGCTGCATAGTTCCCTGGGAACTGCTGGAAAGTTGTGTCACCAACTGAGATACAGAACAGTTTAGGAGGGAAAAATAAGGATCCAGTTTTAGCTGTCAAGAGTTGGAGGTGCCACTAGAATTTACTGAAATTCTGTGTTGGAGGTTTTCTTTTTCTCTAAACTACCTCGGAAAGTCCAAACCCTATCAACTTTTACCACAAGTTAGCTGGGGAATGCAGCCACACCCCAGAAGAACTGGCTGCCTCTGTTACATCTGGATTTGGAAGCAAATTTATTTTAAGCAATAATAAAAATACACAACATTGAGAAGTAGAGAGCACCTGTCCAGCTAAACTTTGTCCCATTCTTTCCTGGAATAACATGACCATTTTTCAAGTGAAGAAAATAAGATATGAAGAAAGCAAATGTAGAGCTGCCTAAGGCAAAGAACCCTGTCACTGAAGTAGGTGCACAGCAGTCATTCATCAGTAAGTCTTCCCCAAGTAACCTATGGCACTGAGACACAACGCTCAAAACCAGGGGAGATATTAAATTGAAGAAGTCTAAGAAATAGCACAAGATCCAGTTGATAATTAATTGATTAGATAATCAAATACAAAAATGAGAAGCTACCTTAAATGTAGGGCACATGTAGAAAGTCAAGGGCGTGAGGCAAAAGGCAGACTGCAGCCAGCCGTGCTGTCCTATAGGGAATCTGGACTTTACCCAGCAGGCAGTGAGACTTGTGGAAGTGGTTGATAAGAGTTCTTACTGGGTCAGAAGCCATGTGTGAGGGACACTGGTAATGATAGCTCCACTGTTAACCCTTGACGATATTCACAGCATTTCA